CCTTTTCAGAATCTGGTTTGAACCTCTAGAAGTTCTCCATCAATATACTGCTGCAATAGTTTTTTATTTATCTGCGGCAAAATTTTTCTTGCATGTGATATTTAATGATAACCGTTCAGTGACTCCCACATTTTGTTGGGTCTTCGGAATGGGAACAAATCTCTTCCAATCAGTTGGCAAGGTCTTCCAAATTTCTTGGTGTACACAGTGAGTGCTTCCAATGTTTCGTCAGGTTTTTTTTTAAAGGGTTTCAATTTGTATTCCATCAATTCCTGGAGCCTCGTTTTTCGCCAATGCCTTCAGTGAAGGCTGAACTTTCTTTCTTGATCATAAGCTAGCTCTTGAAATGGTTGAGCATCAACCATTTCTTTTTGATATAGTAGCTGTCTGTTTTCCTTCCATCTTCTTTTGATACTTTTTGCATCATTCAGTATTTTGCCCATTGGATCCTTCAATATTGCAAGTAAAGGTTTGAATTTTTTTCTTCAGTGCTTTCACCTTGAGAAATGTTAAGCATGTACTTCCCTTTTGGCTTTCTGACTCTAGGTTTTTGCACATTTCATTATAATACTTCATTTTCACTTCTCCAGCTGCCCTTTGAAGTTGTCTTTCTATGCTGGAGAGCACATTTCAGAGTCTCTTTTGATACTCATTTTGGTCTCTTCCTTCCTAATGCTTTCTTCCTGTGTGATGTTCTTAATATCATTCCATAATTCTTCTGTTTTTTGGTCATATGTGTTTAATGCATCACATCTGTTCTTGAGTCAAGATCTCTAACTTCAGGTAGAATATGTTCAAGGTCATGTTTTGGCTCTTGTGTGCTTGTTTTAATTTTCTTCAGATTCAACCTGAATTTTTATGTGAACAGTTGATGGTCTGTTCCACAGTCTGTCCCAGGCTGATGATATGGAGTGTCTCCATATCTCTTCCCAAAGATGTAGTCAGTTTGATTTCTGTGTATTTCATCTAGTGAGGTCCATGTATATAGTTGTCTTTTATGTAGTTAAAAATGGTATTTGCAATGAGTAAGTTATTGGTCTTGCAACATTTTATCATGTTATCTCTAGCATGGCTTCTGTGACTACTGATCCTTTTCCCCCCCAATCTTTGCATTCCAATCACCAGTAAGTCTTAATATCTTGATTGTATGTTTGATCAATTTCGGAGTGAAGAAGTTGGTAGAATTCTTCAATTTTTTTCATCACTACCTTTAGTGGTTGGTGCATAAATTTGAATAGTAGTGGTTGTCTTTGGCTGGGTTCTCTAGAGAAGCAAAACTAGTGAAAATTCTATATGTATGTATATAAAGAAAAGTTTATATCAAGGAAACAGCTCATAATCATAGATATGGGAGAGTCCCATGTCCGGTTCAGCTTAGTCAAGATTGGCAGGCATACCCAGCAGACAGAAGAGCAGACAGACAGTAGAGAAAGGCCACTAGTTTAGGTTCAAAGAACTAGAGGATGGATCCAGCGGAAAAAGAGAGCAAGCTTTTCTGCATGTCCATTATATTACAAGCAGGCCACATCCCCAAGGAAACATCTTAGTAATTGGTTGGCTGCTCATAGCCAATCATCATAGAGTTAATTGTGCCTGTATTAGATCTCACTGTGGGGATAACCATATCACAACTGCTAATCCACTAGAAATCCTCACCCAGTCAAGTTTATACAAACCCTTAGCTATTACAGTAGTATTCTCTGGTCTTAATTATAGGTATATGGATATCATTCTGACATAGATGACATTATAGTTCAAGATAGATCTTGAATATTCCTTTTTGATGATGAATGTGATGCCATTTCTCTTCAATTTGTCATTGCCAGATAGCAAACCATATTGTTGTCAGGTTCAAAATGGTCAATACTAGTCTATTTCAGCTCACTAATGTGTAGGAGTCCTGATGTGACATGGTGGGTTAATGCACTGAACTACAACATTGGTTTGAACCACAAGGTTGGAGATTTCAAGCTCACCAACCACTTCTCAAAAACTATACAGGATCACTATGGGTCGGGACTGACTTGAAGGCAGTTCACAACAGCAACAACAGCAATGCCTAGGATATCGATCTTTATGGACTCCATTTCATTTTTGACAACTTCCAAGTTTACTAGCTCCTCTGTAACAGCAATAAAAATTTCACAAGATTAATACTTTGTGCATTCTATATTTTGATTATTGATGGATGTTTACAGTTGTTTCTTCTGATACTGAGCTGTGCCCCATAAGCAAATGATGATCCTAAAAGTTTTATTCCACTCATGTCACCATGGTGAACTCTACTCTAAGGAGTCAGCACTTCCCCAGTTGTATTTTGAGTGCCTTCCAACCCAAGGGGCTCATCTTCTTGCACTATATCTTGCAGTATTTTGGTGCTACTCATAATGTTTCAGTACTTGATACTCTGGTGCTGTCTGACAGCATTCAACTACGATTCATAAGGTTTTCAGTGGATAAACATTCAGAACTAGGCTGCCTCTCTTTCTTCCTAGTCTGTCTTAGTCTGAAAACTCACCACAAAACTTTCCACCATAACTCATTATGGTGGACATTTTCTCAAAATAGATATTTTCCAGTGATAATATCTAGGGACTAGAGACATAAGCCTTTTAAAACAGTGAGGGAGTTTAAATAGACTTTTGTAGATTTGTAATATATGTAACTGGGAAACCAAAAGCTAATAAAGGACTGTCTTATTCTGTATGCATGGGATTTTAGTGTATTTGCAAGTGTATTTGTGGATTTATTATCATACCCTCAGGTTCATCAGTTTGTTAGGCGAGGGCATACAACTTAGCAACTGTAGATGTATGTATATATTTGCTGTTGTTAGCTGCCATAGAGTTGGTACCAAAACATTGCTACCTTATACACAGCAGAACAAAACACCGCCCGATCCTGGACCAACCTCACTACTGTTGCCACGCTTGAGTCCATTAGTGCTGCCACCTTGTACCTCATGACTGATCTGGATATGTTCTTTTTGACAGTGAATGCAACACCATTCCTCTTCAATTTGTCATTTCCGACATAGTAAACCATGTGGTCATCAGATTCAAAATGCCAATACCAGTCCATTTCAGCTCACTAATGCTTAAGATATCGATGTTTATGCATTCCATTTCATTTCTGACAAGTTCCAATTTTCCCAGATTCATACTTTGTACATTCCATGTTCTGATTTTCACTGGATGTTCACAGCTGTTTCTCTTCATTTTGCCCCATTAGCAAATGAAGGTCCTGCGGGCTTTTCTCCAATGGACTTTTACTCCATTTGCATCATCGCAGTCAACTCTGCTTTGAGGAGGCAGCTCTTCCCCAGTAGCATTTTGAGTGCCTTCCAACCTGAGAGGCTCATTTTCTGGCACTATATCTGACAGTGTTTGTCTATTATTCATAAGGTTTTCAGTGACTAAATCTTCAGAAGTAGTTCGTCACTCCTTCTTAGTGGAAGCTCACCTGAAACCTGTTCACCATGGGTGACCCTGCTGGTATTTAAAATACCAGTGGCATAGCTTCCAGAATCACAGCAACTCGCAAGCCACCACAGTAAGACAAACTGACAGACGAGGGGTGGATATATATATATATATATATATATTTTTTTTTTTTTTTACAGCGCTCACACATTTAAAATCCAAAATGGAAAAGTTACATAGGGCAGAGTCCAGGAGAGAGCAGATGTAAGCTTCCAGTTGTCCTCTTCTAGTAGAGCCTGGTGGTGGTGTGGTGGCTTTGTGCCATGGAGTCGGTGGTAGATCGCACTTTATTCTCACTAAGGATGTATGAAGTATTGCAAATTATGACGTTCACATGAACCTTGGTGTCCAGGTTTTATTAGAGGTTGGTCAAGTATGCATGACTGGCCTTAGTTCCCCTTCAGGGGTCAAACTGATAACCTAAGGCCCCATTACAAGGCACACTGACAGCATAAACTCTTTGACCTGGCCCATGATACCAGGTAAACAAAGACAGTTTTATCAGGCAGGATATCCCAAGAACTTACAGGTTATGTCCCAGGAGGTGAGCAAGAAACAAACTTTTAGAATATGCAGGAGTTGGACGAAACAGACATTCTGAGTTAATCCTTTACAACACAGCTAAGAAATAATTTATACTTTGGACCATGACATTTACTGAGTTAAAATTGTTGAGAAGAATCAGCCAATGAACCACTGCAGAGGTAGTATTTAACCATATGCGTCAGGTTAGAACACGGTGTCCTTTGTGATGCTGCTGAGGTCCAGAATGTGACCCTGGGATCTGATCACACTGAGATGGCAAAGCAGTTAACTACAGATAGGGAAGAGGGTTCAAATGCTGGAATGAGTTTCATGTGCATGAAGCCTCTGAGAAAGACGACAGTCTCTCTGTTTGGTGTGTCACCCTCTCTTCATGTCTAATGTAGTACCGTACTTCCCAAATATTTGTTTCATGAACAAATGCTTGTGTGTCTTAGAGGAGAAAGTGCCCATAGACTTATCAGTTCTGTACTCTTAAAGAATGCTGGATGTATCACAATTATAGGTCACAGACACTTTTGTCGGTAGGAATAAGCCTTCTAATTCTATGGCACATAATAATTGATGAATAAATATTTTTAAAATGAATGACCATGTGATGTCTGCTTGATGAAATTCCACATATTTTATTGAAACCATTTGATTTCTTGCCTGAATTCACCCTTTAGGATGTCAGCTCCTAAAGTACTAGAACTACATATTGTACTCATTCTTGTATTTTTAGTGGCTGGCACAGTACAGGTGCTAAGTGAAGGATTTAAAGCATTTTGTTTAAGGTACAACAAAGCATAAAGTCTTCCAGTCTGTAAAAAAGTGGAATTAAGGTGGTTTCACTACATGTGAATCATTATTAGAATGGGGAGAATATATCTTCAGGTATCCTTGTCAAGTAGCATTTTGAGTGACATGAACAATCTTTTGTCAAATGTTATGTAGCTGTATTCTAACAAAATTTGTTTGGGGTTTGTTTGATAGGAGGAGTCATCTCCCCACTCTTTGGTCAATATATGCTTGAACGTCCTTATTGCTAACCTGGAGAAATTGTGTTCTAAAAGACCTGATGGGACACTGTGCCTTCCGGAGCATTGGAATATCCCTCAGGAAGTGGCTGATCGATTTCTTGGAGTGATGACTTGGGAAGGTAATGCTAAACCTCCTCTACAGTGTATACTCTCAGAGCACTTTAGTACTCAAAAAAGCATGTTCATGGATAGTTACTCTTTTGATCTTCACATGAACCTTGTGGGCAGTATAAAAACCATTCCCATTTTACTTCTGGTGAATTGCGATTCTGAATGACTTTCTGGGATTTTGTCATGGAGATTGTCTGCTTCTAGGCTCTCTCTGCTGTTGGGTGAGCACAGAGTAACAAAATGGAAAACTAAGTCAGGCTACCACTTACTTAGCCATCTGTTCTCCAGATCCTAAAATCTTGCTTCAGTAGATTCCTTACATAGTTACTGTGTATATAATCCTTAAAAAATATTCCTTTATTCCAACAACAACAAAACAATCAAATACTTCATGGGATTTGGCTCCTTGGTTTGGTGATTTAAGGTCATGGTTTTATGGGACATCCCAGTTCATTGGCCCAAAGGTATGTTTTTTTGCCTTCTAGTTTCTTGTGTGGCACCTAGTAGCGTCTTAAAAACTTGCATGGCCACTCATGTCACAATAATTGGTCTCTGTTCTCCTGGAGCAACAGAGGAAAAAGAAGACTGAGAAAGAGAGGGAGGAACTGGAATGTATACCTGCATAAGCATTTTGCCATGAGGCCAGAAAAACTGTATAATGCCTGGCTACTGTTACTGAGGAGTCCTGGTGTGGCACTGTGGGTTAATTCATCAGACTGCAAAGCCATTTGAACTGCAAGGTCAGCAGTTCAAGCTCATCAGCTGCTCCTCGGAAACCCTATACAGGGTCTCTATGGGTCATAACCGACTCATCAGCACTCAACAACAACAGCAATAATGCCTACTTATCTGCAACCTCGCTTTCAGCCGTTTTAGTTCCCTGTCATAAACTGGGGTCCAAAAATATTTAAATTACACTGTTATGGCTGGTATGATGAAATCTCACACAGTGTTGTCTTGGAGTTACAATGGCATTCCATTTCACTAAGCCTCAGTCCAGAGGCACATGGCCCTAACTCCGTGGGACAGCAAACCTAACTCTTCCCCCAGCTAAGTGCCTAGAGGCACCCCACTCCACAGGGAATCTTCTGCCCATAAACACTAAGCTTTACTTGCTCTGTAGGTCAGGAAGCCCACCATTCGATCTTGTGTTCTTGCTCTTGTTTCTCCTGCTGCTACTCCTCTGCCACAGCCTGGCACATTTTATACCCACATTAGAGTGCCAAGGTTTTATAATAATATTTAGCCTTGTTAACAGTCACTCATAGCTGAATCATAATTTTACCATATTTCTCCCAACTCTTTTCTATAGGAAAGAGTTATTTGGTGTGAGTTACAAGGATTATGGCAAGAAGAATATATTAAATAATTCCCTGCAGTGCGTTCCTCCTCCACTTGATGGGAACCTGGGAAACACATTGGGTGATCACCTGCGCTGCACCCTGCTGATAGCCAACAGGTTAAGGCTCTTCAGCCAGGGTACTTTCTTGGTACCTGTCATTTGTATGAAGGGACTTCAAAAAGTTTGTGGAAATTTCCATTAGCTTTTAGTACAGTTTTTCTATGAACTTTTTGAAGCTCATCCTCTGTATCGTAAAAAAAATAATAATTTAATTTGGTACTAGCCACAATTTCAGGCTTCTGCTGCGGGTCTTGGAACATATCTCCTGCAAATAAAGGGACTACAGTACTGGTTTGTAATATATTTATAAATTTTTATAACCATCATTACAATTTTAGCACATTTTTATCACCTCAGAAGCAAACCCCATATCCTTTAGCTATTACCCTCTGAGCCCCTATCCATACCCCAGTCCTAAGCAACTACTAATAGACTTTCTGTTTCTAGGATTTGCCTATTTTAGACATTTCTTAAACACTGAATTATAGAGTAATTGGCCTTTTGTGTCTAGATTCTTTTCACTAGCATATTATTTTCAAAGTTCATATTGTAGCATGACTCAGTATTTTTTCCCTTTTTTAAAAAAAAGGGAATCTCTGAATTTTATTGAGTTGAGATATTATTTATAGTGATGTTCAAATAGAACTAAACATCAGTTGTTGTTGTTAAGTGCCGTGGAGTCGGTTCTGACCCATAGCAACCCTGTACAGGGTTTCCGAGGGTGTAAATCTTTACGGGAGTAGAAAGCCTCATCTTTCTCCCGC